TATGAAAGCATTGTAATGTTTACTGATAATTTGCCAAATTTCATTAATATTCGCTTACTAATTTACTTACAAGTTATAGCATGAAAGCTATAACAAGCACAAAATAGTTACGAGGTCGGTCTCAGGGACCAAGCCCATGCTGAAAGAGTTAACTCATTTATGATAATATCACCTACTGTTGTAACTCAATAATAACAATACCTTATGGAACTAAGTGCTGTGGATTTTGATTGGTTGATAATATTATCATGCAGTGTTGTAACTAAGTAATGATAATTGTACCTTATGGAATTAAGTGCTGTAGATGTTTACTGGCTGATGATTATGACATGCATTACTTCAGACCAAGATTTCAGTATTGTGGCTGTTGATTGACTGGTAATTATCTCACGTTATCTTGCTATTGAATTACAGTACTCACGAGCTGCTCACGTGTGTGCCTTGTGAAATATTTTTATTATATTATTGTTGTTTATTTTACCTATCTTAACCTTAACTAACCTAAAAAGATCCCTATTTTTACATTTTAGTTACTTTTATAATAATATATAAAGAGTAAACATGAAAAACAAGTACTTACCCAATCTTCTTTTCTCTTGCTGTTGATGACAACTTAACCCTACTTTTTTTATACTAATGATAGTAATGTGCTAAATAATTTTTATTTAATTAACTAATGCACAAAAGAACATATACTAATAACATTCAAAAAGTAGACAATTTGACCTAACTCTCAAATGTTTTCTGGCTTTCTAACTATGCGACAAGAGCCGTGCAGACTAATTATTAACTTTCCCACAGGAATGAAGGTTGTACTCTGAGCGAAATTGACACTTACCCGTTCAGAATACAATGTAATATAATGTCATTTGATCGATGAAAACTTTAGCTTTCTATATGTTATAGGTAATATGTAATTACATGTAAGAGAGGGTGTGGGAGGAGGGGTCTGATTTTCTATTTGGATCACTCTGTAACCAAACAAAGTGGAAGGCTATAAAAATTAGGGTTTTTCTGAGCAATGATGATTTTATAGTGAGTAATTTATGTTTAATTTTGTACTTTTTGAAGGGGTGGTGAGTAAAATAAAGAAGATACCTAGAGAAACCATCACACTAGAGGAAATTCAGGATTTGTTCAATATTGCCTTATAGAATTAAAAACTTAAAATTTTTATACCATTAAAATATGGATTATTAGCTAAGATTTTATATTAAACTAATTGGTATACCATACTTTAATAACATTTTGAATGTAAGACACTAAAACTGTGTAAGGTGCAGTAAAGAATACCTGTAGTGATAGGAATAATTGGCTCTAAGTCAAACTAACGTGGAATTTGGTCATGTACATTTTGTTGAGTTGATAAATTATATTATATACTGTTGTCCATTTAAAACTGATTACTGCATTGAACTCGGTAATATGGCTGTTGGTTGGTAGACAGATACTTTTCTTACTGTCTTTAAAATGTTTGCTGTAAAGAAATGAATGTGAACTGTCAATGACATAGAATAAAATTAAGTAATTTTATGTTCACATAATTTGTATGTACAATAAAAAATTCAAAAGTACCATTGTTACTCTTGTTGTACTACTAAAAGTTCACTAAAGATCACAGTATAATGTTGCAATACTGCAAGAAATATAAAAAATATATAAATATAGACAAAATCTTAATTTTTTTTTCTTTTTTTCTTTCAACGACAAGGTTTTAATTGACCTCGACAAAAATAAAAATGTGATAACATTAATGTCCAGAATTTGGGTTACTCCCAAAATAAAGATTAACATTGAAAATGTCAGTGTTCACAGATTCAACAAACAGGGTTCTGTTTTCAGTGTAATACCAGGTGTGTCCTCATCTTGTATTAATGACAGTGTCTTCTCATCTGGATCTATCTTGCACTGTTATTCATTAAAATGAAATCTGTCCTATAGCTCCTGTGTATGGCCTCAAAAAAAAAACATCCAGGATATCATCCCTCTACCTTTTTCCATTCAAATCACCATTCTGGATGACGTACAAGTCTGTATGACCCCTGACCATCACTGATCCACTTCTATACCAGTCATATTCTATCACATTCATATCTGCATATCTCTCATTAGGTCATCTCCACACTCTGGTATATCCATCATGATAGTCCAGACAGTATTTGGACTCTTCAGTGAAGTGAACATTTGACTAAAGAGTCTGTGCCCAGTTCATATGTACTCTACACCATTCAAGTCTGTGCTGTTGGTGTGTGGAACTTGCACTGCTGGTCTTCTTGCTCTCAGGCCAGCTGCATGGAGTCTGTTTCACACTGTCTGGGTGGAGATAGTAACTACAGAAGCATTTCTGAGGTGTCTATAAGACTTGTAGCATTCAATGTCTGATTTCTACTTTCTAATGTAGCAAGCTATTGGTCCTACTTATTTGTTGTTGCCCTTTGCTGACCACCACTATGTCATCCTGTTTTTTGAAAGTGAATATATCTCCTAGAGTCTACATACACTTTGACTGGCTTCTAGTGCAACAGAAACCTTTGGAACAACCCTCCTTGGAGCATCCCCATTCCTCATAAGAGCTCCTGGATGCTCGGGTGGTGCCTGTGTGGCATCAAAGTGCACTGAATGAAGTAGTAAAGCTACAGATTGTGTCTTGGAAGTTTTGTAATGGTGTATAACTATTTAATTAAAGAACCACAAAGTGCTCAAATACTTGAAAAATTCCAAGAATAAGGGTGACCCACTTTATGCTATATATGAATGGTCATGCTTGACCACACAGTCTGAAAAGCACTTGATGAATGCAGGGGACATGTCAAACAAAGCATGTGCACAAATATAATTTTAAAACATAGTCAACTTATAACTATAAAATGGTGATCCTTAGCAAATTTTGAGTAGTATATATGGCTTAATTGTTTTACTGGTTAATTAGTGATTTATGTTTAACTTCAACCCTACATTAGAAAACCCAAATAATGGGTTTCCTAAATACCTTTCTTTTAATTAATTTGAGATATCTTTTATAACAGTTTTTGTTACCAACTACTTATTGCAGCAATAAGATGAGAATTGATGTGCTGTAAACATTCTAATTCCTAGATGAATGTCAACAGTAAGCTACAGAACTCTGCTTGCGTTCCATAGTTCTAAGTGCAGAATAATCTGTCTTAGGTTCATAGGTTTGACTAGGTTCTAGACAAAATACCCCAGTAAACCACAGAAATCTTCATTATTCTTGTTGTGGTCTTACATTCATAGGTTTAGCTGGGTTCTAGACAAAAACCAATAATAAACCACAGAACCTTCATTATTTTTCTTTGCATTACATTCATAGGCTGGTTTCATGGAAGTATAATAAATAAATATTTAGTTTCACTAAAACAAGTAGAGATCAATATATACATAGATAAATATAAATAGATGATGTTTCGAGCTAGCACTCTTCATCAGATTGTACAGTTTACAACTGATAGCCAGTAATGAAAATGCTTGAATCTTAGTGCTGTACTGTTAATTAGCTGTAAGTCAAACTAACATGATGTAGAACTCGGTCATATAGATTTTGTTAAGTTGATAGATTACTTAATGTACTGTTGCCCATCCAAGATTGATTACCACATTGAACTCAGTAATATGGCTGTTGGTTGGTAGACAGATACTTTTCTTACTGTCTTTAGAATGTTTGCTGTAAAGAAATGAATGTGAACAGGCAATGACATAGAATAAAATTAAGTAATTTTATGTTCACATAATTTTTATGTACAGTAAAAAATGCAAAAGTACCATTGTTACTCTTGTTGTAAACTGTACGATCTGACGAAGAGCTAGCTCAAAACATCATCCTTCTTTAAATAACAGTATATAAAAAAACTTGGTAATTGTTCAACCTATTATTTAATTAATCAATATATATATTACTATATTTCTATATTACTAGGTTATATATACACCTACATAACCTAGTAATATAGAAATTTTTAATGTTACAAAAAGTATTGAAATGAGAGAGTCAAAACTATAAAAACAGAGTTGCTTAAAGTGATCTGCGAAAGTAGAGATAAAATATTTTATATTTTAAGTAACACAGTTTTGTAGTTTTGACTTACTTGTTTCAATACTTTTTTGTAGCATTAAAACTTTCTATATTACGATAACTAGCTAGGTTACGTATATAGCGATCCATACTTGTCTTTATAAAATTTAAACATTTGTTATTACATATGTTTATTTCCTTCTTATTACCTATATTTTTGTGTACCAAGCACGGGGTACTCGTATACCTGATTCGATTTACCAAGCACGGGGGTACTCGTATACCTGATTCGATTTTCATTACTCATCAGGATTTCTCCCAACCTACCCTCAAATCTATTTATATTCCCAAAGTAGCACATCGTCAGTTTTATAATACTTAAACAGTCGAGCAAAATAAAATCAACAGGAAAGACTGCGTTAAAAACAGGAAATCCAAACGTGTGATAAATAATACTTAAATAAACAAAACTAGCTCAAACAAAAAAAATAAAATTAAAGATGCTGCATAAATTAAAAGGATCTCCAGGGTACGGGCTGTAATGTGGGATATAAAATGTGCCCTGGGTTTTTGAGGTAACTTAATGATATGTTAAGAAATGTATTTGAATTATTTATTGCGTTATTAGCTTGTATTTTCATTTTACTAGGAAAAACAAACCAGAGTTTGTTGAAATATTACGAAGATTAGAAGCTAATCCAGTGTGCCAGAGTCTTGATATGCATTCTTTTCTGATCCTACCCATGCAACGAATAACTCGTTTTCCATTGTTGGTTGATGCAATTTTCCACAGGCTTCCACAAGACTCTTCAAAGTATGAACTCTGCAAGTCAACATTGGCAGCCTTAAATAAGGTATGAATATCTCTTCCTTTTGTTCCAATTGTTAGAAGATTTCACAGATAGAGCTCCAAAACTCGTTTATTTTTCATGGTCAGAGTTTCTCTTACTACATTTTGTACACCAGGTTTTATACATTTCTGTCATAATAAACACAACTTTACTTACTGGTGCTTATGGAAAGAACAGTTATGTAGAATACAGTTATCTTTTTAAAACTATGGAGTGAATACCATATAAAAGTTTATTTCATTAAACTAAATACAATAAACAACAATTTGAGTGTCTATTAGTGTTAACATTCACTACTTATAATATGTCATACATCTCATTATATAGTATAATTAGTATCTAATGATGCTGTTATTGGTTGTGTGGTATATAGTATAAGTAGCATCTGATGATGCTGTTATTGGTTGTGTGGTATATAGTATAATTATTACCTGATGATGCTGTTATTGGTTGTGTGGCATATAG